TATTCAGCTATTTTATATCTTTATTTTTATCTCCTTGATCGTTCAGTTTCTGAGAAGAGTGTGTTAAAATCTCTAACCATTATTTATTTATTTCTTCCAAAAGATTTGATAGTAGTTGCTTTATATATTTTGAGGCTGTATTATTGTCCTTTTGTGTTTACCATATTTATATTTTCTTGTATTATGTTTCTATTTGACTCATCTTTTTCATCTTGAATTCTCCTTTATCAAATATCAAAATTACTTCCCTGATACTTTTTTTTTAAAGATTTTACTTATTTATTTGACAGAGAGAGACCACAAGCAGGGGGAGTTGCATGCAGAGGGAGAGGGAGAAGCAGACTCCCTACCAAGCAGGAAGCCCCATTTGAGACTCAATCCCAGGACCCTGGGATCATGACCTGAGCCTAAGGCAGACATTTTAATTGACTGAGCCACCCAGGAGCCCATAGATAATCAGTTTTATTATATTTAGCCAATTTTGCTCCTCATATCTCAGGAATCATCCTGATTTATTTCTCTTGGGTTTATTTCTCTTCTTATTTGAGTACCTTCTCCCAGAGTGGTTTTTTTTTTTTTAAAGATTTGTTTATTTATTTGAGAGAGAGAGAGAGCGCAAGCATGCATGTGCGCGTGAGCATGCGGGGGTGGGGGGTGGGGGGGAGAGGAGCAGAGGGAGAGGGAGGGAGAGAATCTCAAGCAGACTCTGTGCTGAGCACGGAGCCTGACATGGGGCTCAATCTCATGACTCTGAGATCATGATCTGAGCTGAAATCAAGATTTGTATGCTTAACTGACTGCACTCCCAGGTGCCCCCACTGAGTGTTTTTAATGTAGGTCTTTGTGCGGTAAAACTGCTTTGGCCTACTATATCTGAGGATATTTTTTAATACCTTCACATTGAGAGACTCTTTGGCTATAGGCAAGATTTCTTTCAGTTTTTTTTTTTTTTTTTTAAGATTTTATTTTTTGACAGAGAGACAGTGAGAGAGGAAACACAAGCAGGGGGAGTGGGAGAGGGAGAAGCAGGCTTCCCACCAAGCAGAGAGCCCAAAGCGGGGCTCGATCTCAGGACCCTGGGATCATGACCTGAGCCGAAGGCAGATGTTTAACGACTGAGCCACCCAGGCGCCCCAAGATTTCTTTCAGTTTTAAAAACATTTGCTACTTTGTCTTTTGTGTCTAGTGTTTCTACTGAGAAGTTTGATGTCAATTTGATTCTTGTCCCTGTGCATTGCTTTTGGAGGTGTTCAGAATTTTATCTGACTTTGATGTTCTTAGATTTCCATATAATGAATCTGGATGTGTTTCCCCTTAGTTACCCCATTTTTTAAAAAGCTATTCTTTCTTTCTTTTTTTTTTTTGGATTTGTATTTATTTATTTATTTGAGAGAGAGAGCACGAGCCGGGAGGAGGGTCAAAGGGAGAGGGAGAAGCAGACTCCCCACTGAGCAGGGAGCCTGATGTGGGACTCAATCCCAGGGCCCTGAGATCATGACCTGAGCCTAAGCAGACGCTTCACCGACTGAGTCACCCAGGTGCGCAGTTACCCCGTTTCACACTCTGAAGAGCAGAGTCCCCTTTCATCTGAAATTCTGAGAAATTTTTCACCATTGTTTCTTCAACTGTTTTCTCCTCTCTCCCTTTATGCTCATCTCTTTGGGGAACCCTATTATCCTGATATTAACACTTCCCCTTTTCTTTTTTTTAAGATTTTATTTATTTGACAGAGAGAGAGAACACAGCAGGGGGAGCGGCAGGCAGAGGGAGAGGGAGAAGCAGACTCCCCGCTGAGCAAGGAGCCCGATGTGGGGCTTGATCCCAGGATGGTGGGATCATGACCCGAGCTGAAGGCAGACCTTAACTGACTGAGCCACCCAGGCGCCCCCTATGTGATGTTTTAATCCTTCCCTTTTATTTCATTTTGGAATTCTTCTAATTCTCCCTTCTCCAACTTCTTTTCCTGTATAATCTTTTCTTTGAACTTTTTATCTCTCTCTTTTTAAAGATTTATTTATTTATTTTAGAGCGAGAGAAAGAGAGAGTGCATGTGCATGCTTCTGTGGAGTGGGGGAGGGGCACAGGGAGAGAGAGAATCCCAAGCAGACTCCTGCTGAGTTGGAGCCTGCCGTGGGGCTGGATGCCACGACCCTGAGACCATGACCTGAGCCAAAATCAAGAGTTGGATGCTCAACCCACTGCGCCACCCAGGCGCCCCTAAAAAATTATTATTATTATTATTATTATTTTTGAGTAGGCTCTGTGCCCAGTGTGGGGCTTGAACTCATAACGCCAAGAATAAGAGCTGCATACTCTTCAGACTGAGCCAGCCAGGCGTCTCCCACCCCCTTCCAATGGCTTCCTGTTTTACTTAGAACAAAATCCAAACTCCTTACACTGACCTTACAAGGCCCTGCATGATTTGACCCTTCCTGACCTTCCCAATTCTGTCTCATGCCCTTCTCCCCCTCACCGTCCATGGACCACCCACACTGCTCTTTTCTCCTTTCACACCACAAACTCCTTCCCATCCCTGGGCCATGCCTGGAACACACCCTCCCCTCCCTGTGTGGACAACTCCTCCTCCTTCAGGCCTCCTCCTTAGTGAGTCCTTCCCTGGCCACCTGCCCAGGTGACAATTCTGTCATTATACCTGTTCGTTTTTGTTCACAGCCCTTCCTACAGCCTGTACTTCACATTTATGTCCCATCTTCCCCGTTTGGTTCCATGCTCCACCAGGGCGAGGGCTGTGTCTGTCTTGTTCACTGGTGTATCCCTAGGCCCCAGTGCAGTGTCACTACTGAGGAAATATTTGCTGAGTGTCTGCAGAAAGACCGAAGTGGAGTGTTGGACCCTTGAGCGCCACACTGAAGAGTTTAAATGATGCGGTGGTTGGGGCACCTGGGTGGTGCAGTCAGTTAAGCGTCTCACTCTTGGTTTTGGCTCAGGTCGTGCTCTCAGGGCCTTGAGATTAAGCCCCGCATCGGGCTCTGTGCTCAGTGCGGGGTCTGCTTCGGATTCTCTCGCCCTCTGTCTCTGCCCTTCTTGCTCGTGCTCTCTCTCTCTCTCTCAAATGAATCAATACATCTTAAAAAAAAAAAAAGATGTCATGGTCAGTAGAGAGACTCAGAAGTTTTTTGAGCAAGTGAGTGACAGAATGGACAGCTGTGGTCGAGGCGGGGCTCCCCAGGGAGGCCCAGCAGCACTTGTGGCTGCCTGGCTGGGCCTACGGGTCTGCAGAGCAAGGCAGAGACAGTGCCCACGCTGGGGCTGGGACAACTGGGGCAGCAGCCAGAGCCTGGGGCTGGGCTGGCGGGGCGGCCCGAGTGCAGATTCAAATCCTTTCGTTCTAGGAGTCGTTTAAACTGAAGTATGCTATGAGAAAGAGGGAGAGACAGAAAAACTGGAAGCAAGCAAGAGAGAAAAGGGCAGAGACTGATGACAGCCCCACCAGCAGACACAGGGATAAGAAGAGGGCCCAGGAAGTGGCCGGGGCCGGAACTTGGGGTGGAGAGCTGGCAGTGAGGTGACTGAGGAGTGGTGCTCAGTAGCAGGGCCCCTGATTTTAAATCCTGGCTCTATACCGAATCTCCTGAGCTTCTGTTTCCTGATCTATTAACCACAGACCTTGCCCATGTCATAGGGTGGTTGGGAGGGTTGAATTAGACGGTGTATGCATTGTACTTAAACAACGTCTACAAAGAGTAAGCACTCAGTAAACTTTAGTTTCTCCCTCCTACCTGCCGGCTGCCCTCTTTCCTTCTTAAAAGCAGATGTTTATCTAAGTTCAAAAAGACATTTTTTATCACTTCACGTAGTGATGGTCTTGTTCTGAGAGATTAATTCTTCTTCATTCTTATGACTGCCTGGCAAACCCAAACATTCCAGAAATCAGCTTAATTTCTTCCCAGGAGGAAAGTCCCTTTGAGAATCCAAATGCAAAGCAGAGGCTGGTTGGTGGCTAGAGAGCCAGGGCACACGGCGGTGGATGATCTTAGCAGGCCGCGTGAGTAAGCTGGCATGATGGTGTGTCTACCCCGATGCAGGAAGTCAGTTTCCTTGTCTATGACACAGGGTGTAGGGAGGCATTGAAATGGATCAGGCTGGGCTGTCACCAAATTCCACTATTTCTGAAGCCAGACCTGGGTGTTTTGCCAATTATAATGGGGAAAATATGATCATTTCCAAGCTAGGAGAAAGAATCAAGCAAATGAACAGATTTTTCTCAATTTTAAGATCTACTTTGTTTTTTTTTCCAAAACTGTTAACATCTGATACTAGCAGATGACCAAATAAAGTTTCAAAGGACAAACAAATATTGACAAGGAAACCAGGAATAAATTATTGTTCTTGTGTTTGGGGGTATGTATGGGGTTTGATTGTACTTTCATTTTGCTGAGATGTCAGGCAACCCCATCTCGTTAATGACGCTGTTCTTACTGTATGTCATGGTTTCTTCTACTGTTGCATCTAAAACCTTCATTGAGCCCTCACTATGTGCTTTATATGTATCATCTCATTTGATCTGTGAGGGGGGGGGCATAGCATTCTCACAATACAGAAGAGGAAACTGATGTTTAGAGGGAGATTAAGGACCATCTGTAAGGTCCTATGGCTAGTGTAGTGACTGTGATAGCTCTCTGCTTCTGGTGAGAGTCCCTTGACCTGACCCACAGTGGCCAGTCCATCGCACCCTGCTCCCTGGACACAGGAATTGGTTCATGGCTGAGTGTGCGAACCAAGTAAGGGCTAATCAGGGCTCTTCCTGGGGTAGATGGGCACTGGGTTTTACAAAGCTAAGGACGGCCTATGGCCATGTTCCTTGTTCCTGCTGTGGTAAGAGTAAATACAGCCGCAAAGAGATGAACACTGAACAGTGATGAGGCAAGGACGGACAGATGTTTGGATGGATGGACGGATGGATGGTGCTCAGTTCCCCTTTCTAGCCCCAAGGCTATGGTTCATTGATCCTTCGAATTATCTCAGTGAGATTACCAAGGCTATGGTTCATTGATCCTTCGAATTATCTCAGTGAGATTACCAGTTATATAACACAAGACATTCCCTTTTTGGCTTCAGTGAGCTTGCTTGGAGCTTCTTACAGCTGGAAGACCCTGACTGACAGAACGAGAACATGGTGAGGTCAAGGTTAAAACCTAGAATCTGTCTTCTCTGCTGTCACCATTTCCTAGTATTACACATCGATCTCTCAAAACATCTCTCTTTAAACCACTTCCTCATGAGCAACACCCTGTAATTTTTTAAATCACAGCTCACCTTCCTTAGTCGACTTTCTTTTTTTGAAGCTGCCCCTAGTCCCTTTCTGAGATTTGGGAAGTTGCCTGGGTTTATTAGAACACATTAAAATGCATCTCTCATGTTGGGTGTTTCTGGGAAAATGGCCATTCTTTCTGCTTTATGTTGATTCCTGTTAGCACCAGTCTTACCAAATGACATTTTCCATCCTTGGAACCTCCATTCTGGCAAATGGTAGAAACCTGCTCCCCAGACCTGGGTGCTTGCTCGCTGGCTGGCTGAGCAAGGCCATAAGGAACTTTCGGGTGGGGAGGGGGAGTGTCTTAGGCTTCTGAGTCAGACACCAGACCTCAGGAACTACAGGCCTCTGTAAGGAGTTGTGGGTAGGGGAAGCAAGTCCCCAAACCTGAAGTCCTGCAGTGCCAGGGGATGGCCTGCTTTCTTCACGAGGACATGGATTCTGGTGGGTGTGGCTGGAGGTTGGGGGCACAAGGAGTGGTTTGTTCCTGACCACATCCCCTGAGGATTGACCCTAGTTAATGCTGCCTTCTTCTCCTGCTGCTTCCCAAACTGACCTTCCCTACCTTCTCGCAGAGAGCCGCTGCCCAGCTGTACCCTGCCCTGCGGGATGGGCTCACCGGGAAGGTGAGGAGGGTGCAGCCAGCTGGTTGAGAAAGAGAGAAGCATAGTGTGGACTCTCACCTCTTCCTTGTTGACAGAGAGAGGAGTGGAAGGGCTCCGCTCCCCTGGAAACCCTTTTGGGGAGTGGGGTGTTTAATTGCCTCCTCCCCAAGGCACTGGCATGGGCAAGAAGGAAGCATCTGGTGACAATGGAGAGAGTTGGGTGGATGCAGTGGTAGCAAGTCAGCTTCTAGAAGGTTTGGGGTGGGGGTAGAGCCTGGTCTGGAAATTGGGTGTTGAAGGGAGGGGGAGGATGGTGGCAATGAAGGACAGCACTGGCCATTCTCCAAACACCTGCTCTGTGTTAGGCACTGGGGACACTGGGAATGACCAATACTCAATGTCTATTTCTCAGCAGCCCAGTCTAGTGGGGGAGACGCATAAAGAAATAGTCTCATAAAAGTTGCTGTTATAGGGGCGCCTGGGTGGCTCAGTCGGTTAAGCGACTGCCTTCGGCTCAGGTCATGATCCTGGAGTCCCGGGATCGAGTTCCGCATCGGGCTCCCTGCTCGGCGGGGAGTCTGCTTCTCCCTCTGACCCTCTTCCCTCTCGTGCTCTCTCTCTCTCTCATTCTCAAATAAATAAATAAAAAATCTTTAAAAAAAAAAGTTGCTGTTATAGGGCAGGGGGCTAGTGAGCTCCATAAGAGGCCCTAGCTCTGTGCGTGTGTGTGCTCTAGTATGTGGGGAGGCTGGGGAGCAGCTTCAGGGTGCGGCACAGGGATGATCTTAGAGCTGAGTTGAAAGGGTGATTAGGAGATCGACAGGGAGCAAACTGAGGAAGTGCTCTCGGAGAGAATGAATGGCTTAGGTGGGGGCTTTGATGCATGGGAGGCCGTGGCCTGTGCATCAGTGAGGTTGGTGCCTGGGAAGGCGTGTCACGTTTGGTAGCCTTCTCCTCAAAGTTATGAGACATCACGGTGCTTTCACCTGAGGGGTGACATGCTCAGATTTGGATTTAGGAAGGTCACTGGGGAGGCAGAGCTGAGAAGGGGTCGGAGTGGGGGCAAGGCTGGGGTGTGAGAAGAGTCCAGCTGTGCTTACAACCACCCAGGGGAACAGGGACGTGGCGGCAGCTCAGGCAGTCTGGCAGAGATGAGTGGCATTGAGAAGGCGGGCGGAAGGCAGAGATGGGGAAGCAGGAGGCTGGGAGGACAGCCAAGTTTCTGGTTTGGGTCATTAGGTGGATGGTGGTGTTATTTGTGGCAGAGAGGGTACTGAGGGAGGTGAAGATCCGAGGAAGGTTATTTTTAAGTCTGCTTTAAATGCAGGCCAGAATGCAGTTGGAAGGCAAGGGGAAAGGGGCGGGTGGTTGAAGATGCCAGAGCAGAGCAGGTGGAGGAGATGCTCCCCTAGGCCCTGGTGAGGTTGAGAAATGAGTCCAAGAGGCCAGGTGGGGGTGTGGGGAGAGAATGGCAGAGCGTCACGGTCTGAGTGGAAAGGTTAGAGCTCTCAGGGATTCGCAGGGATTGGGGCTTATAGAAGAGTGTTACCATTGTGACTACCTATGTTTGTCACGCCTCGTTAACTGTGTGAACTTGGGCAAACTTGCCTGAGCCTCAGTTTCCTCCTCTGTAGAGTGGGTGAGATTGTACCAACCTCCTGGGATAGTTGTGTAAATTAAATGGAATAACATACAGAGATCACCTAGCACACAGTAGGTACTCCATAATATCAGCCACGTAGCCCTCCAGCACTGGGAATGCATTAGCTCATTGCATGGTGATATCATCAGGTTTTCTTGTGCTGATCATGCTATCAGGGGATAGTTAGATAAATTATTTAATGCAGTTTGTTATGAGAAAATATTTCAAAGCGGGGCACCTGCATGGCTCAGTCGGTTAAGCGTCTGCCTTCTGCTCAGGTCATGATCCTGGAGTTCTGGAATGAGCCTGAGCCCCAAGTCTCCACGTCTCAGGCTGAGTCTGCTCCTCCCTCTCCCTTTGCCCATCCCCTGCAGTTTGTGTTCTCTCTCTCTCTCTCTCTCTCTCGCTCTCTCTCAAATAAAATCTTAAAAAAAAAAAAGAAAATATTTCAGAGCATATTTTGGGGGGTAGAGGACTAATAAAAGGGATCCCTGTGGTGAAAAGTGGAAGGTCAATGGTGCAGTGCAACCGGCCAGGGTCGCATGGTGAGCCAGAGGGAATGCCAGGGCTTCAACCTGCGGCCCCAACACTGGGACCATTTCTCTTTCTGCCGAATTGTCCTGGGGGAAGGGGTGTGTGGGCAGAGCTTGGCAGTGTTCAGTCCCTCACTCAGGCCACCTCGTTCCCTCCTGCCCCTGTCCTTAAGGCTCCTAACAGCTTCTAGACATGGGCTTCCGTCTCCAAGGTCTGCTTGTGCTGCTCAGCAGGCACTGTCCAGGAAAGACTTCCTGTGTCAGGCAGGTGTGAGGGTGTGGGTGTGGGAAGGCCCCTTGGAAGTGAGTCAGCACTGCCCCCGCCTTCGTGAGTCAGGGGCCGGGCGGGGCCAGGGCTGGGGACCGGGAAAGGTGGTAGGGAGGAGGTGGGGGGTAGAGGTGGGACTGGCTGCCAACCACAGGTCTCAACCACCAGGGGGCAGGAACCAGGTGGGGAAACAGCCACCTAGGCTGCACGCCTCTGGCCCCAGCAGCCCCGGGGGTGGGGGTGTGGGGGTGTGGGGGTGTGGGGATGGTGGGGGACGGAGAGCCATGACCCAGCTTCTCAGGCTGGGCATGGGCAGAGTCACTGCCAGCGACGTGCCCATTGCCCAGCTGTGGCCCAGCTTCTCTGCCTTCATGGCCAAGTGGAGAATGTGGCCGGGATTGGATGCTGGAGTCATTCTGTCCAACCCTCCTGCTCTGCTGACTGGGAGGGTGTTGCTCAACTCACACTGTGAGTTAGTGGCAAATTAATGTGGTTTTCACCAGTCTCAGAAATACGGCCACTTGAGGGCACCATCCGGGCCTCAGTTCCTGGGGAGGGACAGGTCTCCCGGGGGGCTGCCCCTGGTAATCAGTGGCTCTCTCTCTCTGCTCTCTTATTTCCTTCACAGTCCTTCTGTTTCTGTGGCTCTCTGACCTTTTCTCCCAGTTTCCACGGTCTCCATCCCTGCTGCTGGGGCACTCGCTCAGCTCCCTCCCTCCCTGGGCCCCAGGGCTGGAGCGGATGTTTCCTGAGGGGTTTGCCGCTTCCTGAAGCTGTTTTCCAGCCCAGGGTCTAAGTGACACTCCTGGGATCTGGGGAAGTTAGGATTTGGTAACAGAATCCGTGGTGTGATTTGGGAGGCGAGAAGGTCCCCTGGCTCCTAAATACCATCCCCAGTGCCCCCACTGCATTGGCAGGGGGTGTGTGTGAGACGCTTTGTTCATGCAGAAACGAGTAAGACCCAGCCCCTGCCCAGTGAGCTCACCGTGTGGGGGCGAGGGCAAGGGAAGACAAGCCCTCGGATGATTCAGCGCAGGGCCGATGCTCTAGTGCACAGCGACAAAAGGAGTCCTTGTATGGGACAGAGCAGGTGGAGATGGAATCTGGCTGGGCCCGGGGAAGGCTCCCTGAAGTAGGTGGCATTCACCCAGCCTTTGAAGGACAGATGGGGTTCCAACGGGAAGAGATGCTGGGAGCAGGGGTCAGGACAAGCAGCGGGTCCCAGCGTGCCGGGTACATGTACGATGCGCTCAAGACACGGTGAGCCAGGCAGTTAGGGTATGTGTAGAGGGGGTCGGAAAGCAGGTTGGGGCAGAGTCCAAGCACCTCACTGCCAGGCTTCGTGGAGGAGCCATGGGCACCACTGTGATATCTGAGCCTGAGAGGCCTTCTCTCACGTCCTCAGGCAAAATGGAAGAAGTGCTTCGAAAAGCAATGCATTGCACCCACTGGGCTTTACCCTCAGGGTGAAGGATTTTTATTTCAAGCTCTACATGAAATAAGGTTTGACAGGGAGGAGCAGTAGCATGAGGGGTCCATGTGCCTTGGAAAGGAGGGGACACTGGGGGCTCCAAGGCCTGACTCCATCTGCACTATTCAGGCTGCCCTGAGTCCCATGGTGACCCCAGGAGAGAGCAGCCTGGCTTCCATCTGACCCTGTCAGTTCTCAGTCCCAGCTCCTCTGTGGTGGCTAACTCAAAGCTCCCAGAGGGGGCGTCCATGACGGGTCTCCATGCCAGCACCCTCTCCTGCCAGGCTGGGTTGGGGTTTCCAAGTGCTGCCCTGGCCTCCAGGGAGGAGGCGGGTGCCGCTGAGTCACTGCCTGGGCATCTGAGCCTGGAACAGCGGGTGAGTCACCTAGGATTGGGGCGTTGGGGGAGGGGAAAGAAGATGCTGGACATCTGGAAGGGGGAGGGGAGCTAGCGGCCGGAAGGGCGGTGCCCAGACTGGTGGGGGTAGAAGGAGCAGTAGGCAGGGGCGCCTGGGAGGGGAAAGCGTGAGGCCTGCTCTTCTCTGAAAACCCCGCCCCTGGGCTGGGTCCTGAATGGCTGCAGTGTTGGTCTTTCTCTGGGTATGGGGAGGAGCCTGGAGGGATGGGGTGAGGAGGGCCATGGCTGTGGCCTGCCCCAGCCCAGGCCTCCGCTTGGGAACCTGTCCGGCCCCTCCTCACTTGCCCACCCCCCAAGCCTTCCCTTCTCCGTTTCGAACCTCCAGGGGCTTCCTTACAGTCCCCACTGACTTGCTCACCCCCACTGCGAGGGTCTCTCAGGGCTTCCCTGCCTCCTTCCAGATGCTTTCCTACCCACAGGGGCCTTTCAAGCTGTTTTTAGGCACACGCTTCCCTCATTACTTTACCAAGAGGAATTCCGTCGCCAACTAAAACCCCCCCCCCCCCCCGCCGCCCCGTGAGTCCCTAAAGTCAGCTTGCAAGTGCAGACGCGCGCGCGCGCACGCACACACACACACACACACACACACACACACACACACACACGCCTGGGAAGTCCCTGGGTGCCTGTATCCTCTGACTCACAAATGAGCTGCAGTCCACAAGCATGTGTCATTCGAGCAAGGCCTGGCATGAGACTCCAGTCCCACAAACAGGGGTGATGGCCCCTCACCCTGCTTCCCCATGACACCTCCCACACCCCTCCACGGCCTAGGTGGGGCCTTCTCGTCCAGCTGGTGGTGGGGCTGGCAGGGGTGGCAGAGTCTGGGGTGGGGGGCTGGCAGGGAGTGGGTGGGGGTGGCAGGAGGCCAGGCTTCAGCGGGATCAGGTTGGGGCAAGTTTGATTTCCTTAAAATGCCAGGCTGGGGGCCAGTGGGGCAAGCATATAAACCCCAGTGTGGGTGCCTGGCCCTTTGCTTTCCTTCCAGAGCCTCTCTGTCATCTGGTCTGGTGAGTGCCTCTGTCTTGCTGAGGGCTGGTTGGGGGGACCCCAGGGGTCTCTGCCTTATTCCTCTGTCTTAATCTTTGTCTCCATAGCTTCCTCATTCTGGGTCTTTCCCTTTGGGGGACCTTGTGTGAAGTGTCCGACTGAGTTTTTTCCAGGCTCCTCTGTGAGGTCTTAGTTTAGGGGTTGCTCTGAGGCCTTCTCTTGGGTCTCCCAGTCTAGGCATCTCAATCTAGAGACCCTTCCTGGGGGCCTAGGCCTAGGAATATGAGGTGTGGAGGGTGGTGCTTTAACAAGAGTCTGGAGTTTGGTTTTCGTTTTTGCGAAGTCCTGGATTCGAGCAGGACTAAGGGACAAGAGCCAGGGATCTCAGGTGCCTGGGCCCCTGCCCTATGTAGCTGCATGCCCTGCCCATCTCCTCCCCCTTGAGAAGGCAGAGCCAGCGGGATGGGCCCAGGACTTTACTTGCCGCTGACACCAGGTCCTGGGGCTTACCCCAGGCCCCCCCAAGCATCCCGGGGCTGCTCAGAGCATTCTCAGAGGCAGAGCCGTGGAAAAGATGGCCTCTGAGTTCTGTCCTGCTGTGTGCCCAGGGCCCAGGACATGTAATCCCTATAGTACCCATCCCAGTAGGACCCTTCCTGGTGGGGAGGGTGGCTCAGTGACCTTCAGCTGTGCCCTGTCTGGTAGAGACAGTACCCCCCTCCCCCTCCCGACTCAGAGGTCTCTACTGGGAGGGAAGATTCACCCCTACCCTCTGAGAGTCCTTAGTCCAGTGGAGGAAACGTACTTTCCCAAGGGTACTTCCTCTGGCCTTGGGGGGTCCCTCGTCTATGGGGGAGATGACTCCTCGGGGAGAAACAGTCTCGGGGAGATGCAGAGAGGGGTTTGGAGAGGCACTTTGGGGCACAAGGGCAGAGTGTCCTGCGGGCTGGGATGAAGTGTCTCCATCACCTGCCACCCCTGTGGCCCCAGATCCAAGATGTCCAGTCCCCTGGAGCAGGCGCTGGCTGTGATGGTCACCACCTTCCACAAGTACTCTGGCCAAGAGGGTGACAAGTTCAAGCTGAGTAAGGGGGAGATGAAGGCCCTTCTGCACAAGGAGCTGCCCAGCTTTGTTGGGGTGAGTGGGGCTGGCTGGGGTGGGAGGGTCCTGATGTATGTGTGGGGACTGCCTGCGGGTGCAGACACAGGGTGCAGCCTCACAGAGGGGCCAAGGCCCACCCACGTGTGAGTGCCCTGTCACTGCCGTTCCTGCGGCTCTCCAGAGGATGGATGGCTGTCAGGGCCCTCAGCGTCCATCTGTCCAGTCCCTCACTGAGTTGAGCAAACCAAAGTCCAGAGAGGGGAAGTGACTGGCCGAAGAGCACACAGTTCTCTCACTCTTAGTGTCCATGTTATATGCCAAACGAAGAAGGTATGTGGGGAGAGGAGAGCCCAGCTAACACATGCGCCCTGGGACAGTTTGCAGAAAAATGCAGTCAACTTTCAATTTGCCCCTCACCTGCCTCATATTGACTCTCAAAGAATTCAAAGTCAGGTCTCAGGCTTTGAACTTATGGGGCATGTCCTTTATTCCTTTAAAAACTTTTTTTGGTTAAGCTTTTCTAATTTGGTTTCCTTTTGGCTGGTATTAAAAAGTTTGCTTTTCTGAATTCAGAAATTTTTAATTTGTTCATCAGCACAGTGGGGGTAGTGATGCCCACCTTGCTGGGCTCAGGGAGTACCTGGGTGCTCCTCACTCCCAGCAGGGACAGCTGGAGACCTTCCCCAGTGAACGTCTACCTGTCCTTACTCCCGGAGCCTCTCTGTGGCTCCCAGGAGGTCCCTGCCCACCACTTACCACTGCCCGGTGCGGAGAGAGGGCTAGGCTCTGATCAGTAGGTGTGTGATTGGTGTGGGGTGGGCGGAGAGCAGCCTGCTGAACCATTCTTTCTCACTTTCAGGAGAAGGTGGATGAGGAGGGCCTGAAGAAGCTGATGGGCGATCTGGATGAGAACAGTGACCAGCAGGTGGACTTCCAGGAGTATGCTGTTTTTCTGGCCCTTGTCACTATCATGTGCAATGAGTTCTTCCAGGACCCCCCAGACCGGCCCTGAAGCAGAGCTCTTGCTCTGCTATGGCCTCCTGGACTCACGAGGACTCTAGCTATCCTTTTTGTACTCAATAAACTTATCTGTTGATCATATTTTAATCGCTCAGTGATGCCCCATACCCTGGCTGGCTCAGTTGGGGTGCTGGAAAATGAGAGCCTCCTTAGATCCTACCCCCTCTAGGCTCTGACTCTTCTGGAAATCTCCCCAAGGCCAGAGCTGTGCCTTAAGTCCCAGACTTTGGGATTTCAAGTACCAGTAAAAATTTGAGATAGTTTGCTAACATTTTTTCCCCAATAAAGATATTAAAAAAGGCAAATACCATCCACCATCACTGTCATTTCATAGAAAGAGATAAGTCTAACAAAGAAGGAAGGATATACTCAGAACAAAGGACAGACCTTGACATTCAGTACTGGGAACAATTAGCTGTACTAGGATCTGCTCAAGAGGCATAAGGTAATCTAACCAACCCAGCAGACCTTCTCATTAAAGACTCCTTATCAGGTTGCAGGCCATAGGCAGTGGGCCCTGTTTTAGCAAAGTTGTATTTCTTTTGATATCTGCTTTCAGATGGGCTCCAGTTTGAGTTCATTCTTCTCCTGTTGGAAGCTACCAGAGACTAGTTCATATCAGCATCCTGATTTTTTTCTGCCGTTTTCCCTAAACTTGTAGCGAGGTTGCCATCTGTTCTGCACCCTATGGTCCATCAGGTGACAACATGACCAAACACCTTGCCACCTCCTAGCAAAGTCACTGACCTTCCAGCCAGGAAAGGTGAGGTCCTCATATTTTATTCTATCCTCTCCTCAATTAATTACACATGTTAGGTTCTCTCTCTCTCTTTAATGGATCCCACTTCTAGTTACCAAATTCTCTACCAGTTAGGAATGTATTCAGTTGTAAGGTACAGGAAACCCGACTAAGAATGGCATAAATAAATTGGCATTTAAATGCCTTATAAAGGGCGCCTGGGTGGCTCAGTCGTTAAGTGTCTGCCTTCGGCTCAGGTCATGATCCCAGGGTCCTGGGATTGAGCGCCACGTGGCACTCCCTGCTCAGCCGGAGGCCCGCTTCTCCCTCTCCCACTCCCCCTGCTTGTGTTCCTGCTCTCGCTACCTCTCTGTCAAATAAATAAATAAAATCTTTAAAAAAATAAAAAAATAAATGCCTTATAAAATAAGTCTGAGGTATGCAATTCAGGTTTGGTTCAGTGACTTAGAGATGCTGTTCTGGTTACCTATTGTTGCATTACAAATCACCCAACACTTGGTAAATTAAAACAGATTTATTGGGCGCCTGGGTGGCTCAGTTGGTTGGGCGACTGCCTTCGGCTCGGGTCATGATCCTGGAGTCCCGGGATCGAGTCCCGCATCGGGCTCCCTGCTCAGTAAGGGAGCCTGCTTCTCCCTCTGACCCTCCCCCCTCTCATGCTCTCTCTCTCTCTCATTCTCTCTCTCAAATAAATAAATAAATAAAATCTTAAAAAAAATAAAAAATAAAACAGATTTATTATCTGTCAAGTTTCTGTAAGGAGACTGCAATCAGTCAATGAGGTTCTCATTTGGGATTTTTCATGTGGTTGCAGACGGATGTTGGAGCTAGAGTCATCTGAAAGTTCAAATCCATTCAACTTCCAAGGTAGCTTACTCGATATGCCTGGCAATAGGTGCCAGTTGCAAGCTGGGAGCTCAGCTGGAACTGTCATCTGATGACTACCTATGACCTCTCTATGTAGCTTGGGCCCCTCAGAGCATTGCAGCTAGGTTCTGATAGGGAGGATCCCCCAAATGAGCATCCCAAGGGGTCCCAATGGGGGCTGTGAGGCTTAAGATTTATCTCAGCAATCCAAGAACATCACTTCTGCTGCATTCTATTGATCAAGCAAGTCATTAGGCTGGCCCAGATTCAAGGGGAAGAGAATTAGGCTCCATCTGTTCATGTGAGGAGCAGTAGCACAAAACTGACGTGGCCATCTGGGGAGACCGTATACCATAGTCTGACTTCTAGCAACCATGTGCAGAATGTAGTCACCTCCTTCCCAAGACCCACCATGTCTCACCCTGTTAAGGCATCAGTGTGAGGTCCAGGGTCTTGTTATCTATGTCAGGCCCTAATCAGCTCCTCAAGAACAATTCCTTTGACCTGAAGATCTATGAACAATACATTCAATGCACAAAGGTGAGACAGACAGATAATAAACACTCCTAGTCAGAAAGGGGTGGTGATGGATCAAAGGCACAAAAGTGTCATTGGTCCATAGCAATTCTGAAATTGAGTCAGACACATGCCACCAGATTCTTGATTAGGGCCCGGTTCTGCTCCCGATAAGTGGTTCTTCTTGGGTCCACACTCCAGGCTGTTGGTTTCATTCTCTTTAACCCTTTATTTTCCATAAGAAATGTCTGTGTTTGTAGCTTTCTCAGCTGCCCCCTGCCCAAAGGAAGTTGACAACCCAAAGCTTCTTTTGTTTGAACTGTCTCTATCCCTTTCAGCCCAGGATCATGTAGTTCCTTTAAAATGTTGTGGGCTAGGGGCGCCTGGGGGGCTCAGTTGTGAAGCGTCTGCCTTCGGCTCGGGTCATGGTCCCGGGGTCCTGGGATCGAGCCCCACATCGGGCTCCCTGCTCCGCGGGAAGCCTGCTTCTCCCTCTCCCACTCCCCCTGCTTGTGTTCCCTCTCTTGCTGTGTCTCTCTCTGTCAAATAAATAAATAAAATCTTAAAAAAAATGTTTTGGGCTTCCTGTGTGTCAACTTATAATTCATTTAATTAGACTAATGCCACACTTAGAAATCTCTCTGAGACTGGCCCCTCGCTACCTCAGACTGAGAATCAGGGAGCTGGGAGAAAGGCCCTCTTGTCTGAAAGCATCTGAGAGGCACACTTCCAAAATTATTAGAAGCCAACCTGCTTATCTGAGATCTGTGAGACTTGCCCTTAAATCTTTCCAAGTCTCTACCTTTGACTTTGTTTTTACCCTGAGTCCCTCTCTATTGGCAAGGCCCTGGATTTGACCTTTGCCCTGAAGCCATTTATTACTTTGAGAGCCATGTGCTGGCCGTAAAGACTGTTCTGGGCCATCTGTATTTCCTCTAAAAAACCTGAGCAGTTCCTTCTTAGGTCATCTCTTTCTTCTCCTGTTTTATCATGGGCATCAGAAGAAGTAGGCACTTTCAGTATTCTGTCTAAACATCTCCTCAGCTGGATCCATGAGTTCATTAGGTACGCTTTCTATGTTCCTATTACCATAGACTGTAATGTTCCCAGACATTCCATGACTACATACTAGGGGTCACTTTTTCTTTCTTTCTTTTTTTTTTTTTAAGATTTTATTTATTTATTTGACACAGAGAGCACAAGTAGGGGGAGCAGCCGAGGGAGAGGGAGAAGCAGACTCCTCGCTGAGCAGGGAGCCTGATGTGGGACTCGATCCCAGGACCCCGGGATTATGACCTGAGCTGAAGGCAGACGCTTAACTGACTGTGCCACCCAGGTGTCCCTAGGGGTCACCTTTTCTTCAGCCTTCAGTAACAATTTCCTCACTGCCTTCCAAATTATTACTGCTAACCTCCTGAGGTCCTTCTAGCTTTCACTTATTACCTGGTCCCAAAGCCAATGGCACCTGCTTGGTTTTTGTAATGGCAGCATCCCCCTCTTGCAAGGAACCAGCTTACGCTAACTTTCTAAACTTTTCCTACCACTTCCTCTATCACAACATTTAGGATTCTATTTGGTCTGCATCCCAAGATACATCAATGGACAGTTCAACCAAATATTTTGTCATTTTGTAACAAGGGTCTTTGACTTTCCAGCCTGGACGTATTCAGCTCTTGTATCTCTTTGTCTTTCCTCCTCCGTTTAGCCAGTTGTATTTTTTAGATTCTTTTGCTTGAGGACTCCACTTTCAGATGTAAAATTCTCTACCAGTTTGGAATGTATTCAGCTATGAGTTGCATGGTTATTTCCATGGTGCTTAATTGTCTTACATACAAGAAGTGTAGGTTGGGCGGTCAGGTTGGTTCAGGCGGAGATGCCATATGACACCAAGTGCGTGCAGAGACGCCATATGACACCAAGTGCCTTCTCAATTGTGTTTGCTCTGTGACCTATAGTATGTATGCTTTTCCCCTCATGCATGCTGCTTCATGATCACAAGATGGCTGCTATATCTCCAGGTTCCACGGTCCATGTTCCAGTCTGGAAGATGCAAAAAGCTTTCCTTCAGACTTTGCCTTTTAATTATGCAAAAAGTGCTCTCTCCAGGGATTTCCACTTGCAGCTCTTTGGTCTTAAGGATGTAATAAGACTGGACTTAGCTGCGACCAAGTATTTTTACCTGGGCATGTTGACACTTGGAAAGAAAAAAAAAATTTTTTTTAAGATTCTATTTATTTATTTATTTATTTATTTGAGAGAGAGTGAGCACACAAATGCGCATGTGCAGGAGCAGAGGGTGGGGCAGAGGTGGAGGGAGAGGGACAAGCTGACTCTTCGCTGAGCATAGAGCCCAATGCAGGGCTCGATCTCAGGACCCTGAAATCATGACCTGAGCTGAGACCAAGAACTGGCCACTCAGCCTACTGCATCACCCAGGTGCCCCCAAAATGGGTTTTCATAATAAAGAAAGAGGGGATGGATAGTAGACAAGCAATAGACAATATGATATTTTCCTGAATTGTTTTCTTACTTCCCTGGGAAACTCTGATGCTTGGCGACCACTTTCAGAGTACCTCGGACTAGACCTGCTCAGAGATGGGTGGGGCCCGAGTGCGAAGTGTTCTCACTGCTCCGCTTAACTGCACATCTGGGGCTGCACACCGAGGCAGGCTGGGCAGGCCTCACAAGGAGAGAAGCCCACTTCCCTAATGTCCTGTAGGAGACAGAGCCAGGAGAAGTAGGTCAGGGAGTGCTGCTGATGGTGACTCACACGCCCAAAGCAGCTCTCCCAGCAACTCCATGCAGTGTCACTTGGCCTCTGGATTCCCTGGAGAGGGTCTGTCCTTAGACCCTTGTCACAGAGAGGAAGTGGGGAGGGAGCAGCATTGGTGTTCCTGGACATCTCCCTCTGGCCAGGCTCTCTGCTGGGCCTGTGGAGCACTGTCTCCTTGCATCATCAGAATGATTAGATGATGGGTGTGCTGGTGGTAACTGCACTTCACGGAAGAGGAGACGTTGAATAAGGAGCAGTGTTGGGACTTGACGCAGGTCTGTAAGGAAACACCTCACCTCTGTGGAACTTGGGATACGGAGGAGCAGCGTGGGCCTTGCTCCTTTCCCCGGGCCACCTCCACAGCCTTGGGCTTTGTGGGAAGGGAAGGGGACCCGGGTGAGCACAGTCCAGATGTTCTTGGTCTCTTGATGAATCAAGGGGAAACCTGGCTCACTTGCTGGTGGTCTGGATACTCACAATGGATCCTGACTTCTGCTGGGGCTCAGTTCCCCATTCTTGGACTGTTTTGGCTGGTGGAGACTGGCCTCAGCTGGCTGGGCACTGAATGGGGTTAATTTTTTGAAAAAATATGTTTTTATTTATTGGACAGAGAGAGAGAGAGCACAGGCAGGGGGAGCAGCAGAGGGAGAGGGAAAAGTAGGCTCCTTGCTGAGCTAGGAGCCCGATGTGGGACTTGATCCCAGGACCCTGGGATCATGACCTGAGCTGAAGGCAGACACCCAGCCGACTGAGTCACCCAGGTGTCCCTGAATGGGGCTAATTTCTTTTCCTTCTGTGCATTTGACAGACTAACAAACACCAGGCTTACCTAGCTGGTCATAACAGTCCTCCCACAAAATCTCTGCTGAAGCAGAGAGCAGAAGAGTCCAGAAAATGGCATCATTCAAAGGATTGTGGGACAGGTTGCTTCCTCTCTCCTCATGGAGCTGCAGCTGGGAGACCCTCCTCAGGACAGCCACCCCTCCTGTCAGGGCTTGCTGTCCCCTTGGCCTTTGCTCTTTAGGGTCTACCCTTGGCAGCCTATTAACCCTCCAAGAAAAGAGATATTGACGTCAAAGGTAGCTTCTGAGACAGGGGAAGGACTGAATTAGGGCTCCCTGTGCTCCTGTCTTCAGGTCACATGAGCTCTCCACTGACTCATCGATCCCATCTGGGAAATGGGCATAACTGGCTCGGCCATCAAAAGAGGTAGTATTCTAAGCTCCACAGGCTCTCCTTGGTCTCAGTTCAGACCCTCTCCCCAGGAAAGACCTCCCCGGCTCCAGCCCCAGTAATTAAATCCCCCCTTCTCACCTCCCCTTATGGGGCTTAGATGATGAGAAAGAAGGTGGATCAATCTGACAGCAGTTCATTGGCCCCATGGGGCTATGGAATTGGGTGTGCTCACCCTGATCCCTGGGCCCAGGTCCTTTTGAAACAAGCACATGAATGTCCAGGTACTCTAGGACACTTCATTTTATTTCTCCCTGAGTTGTAGAACCAGACACTGACCTTGAAAGGGCAACACAGCTTCCCAGGAGCTTTTCAAAGGCCCTGGTGGTGATGGTGGGGGCAGTGGAGAGAGGAGGGGCCGGGAGGAGAGGGAGAGGGGGAAGACGAGGGGAGAGGGTCAGTACTGTAGGAAATCCTGCCAAGGCAGAATGCATCTACTCCCACCCTCACGCCCACAGGCCAGGGAGAGACCCTCACATTCCAGATGAGGCGCACACCTCAGCATTTAGCTCCGGCACCCGCAGCAGGGGAGCTCTGGTGAGAGCCCAAGGGTAGAGAAGCAAGAGGAGGTAGTGGACAGCGGAGGGTGGGAAAGGAGGAGGGCGGCCCCCGGCTCGCCTCGGAGGGATGGTTAGTGTGAGGTCCACTCGGAACCACTGCAGAAAGCGGGATTCAGGGCAGCTGCTTGGGAAGGCCTTCCAACAGGCAGGCAGATTCCCATCGCTGCTAGAACTCGGGAAAGCAAGAGAGGAGGGTTTGCAGCTTTACCTGCGCCCTGTGTGGAGGCCGAAGAAGACTGCACAAAATGACCCGGTGAGGACGGCCTTGTTCCCTCCTTCCGCCTCCCCTCTCCCTGATGCCTCCATTGAGGGGTCTCAGTGGGCTGGAAGGTTGTAACAGTGAGTAACATAAAGCACTTTCACATGGAGGTCCTAGGGTAGGAATCTTCCAAACCCATTTTGGAGGCAAGGAAATTAGGCCCAAACCAGGCGAAGGATAAGTTCGAGGCCAGGTGGTAAGAGGGTGGTGGAGCTTGCAGGGGAGGTCCAGTGAAGGGCCCTTTCCACGACGGCCCTCCAACCCCAAAGCGCCTGTCTCTCCTGGGTGAGCTCCTGCCCCTCCCCGGCAGCAGGCAGACAAAGGGGCAGCATCCTTCCCGAAAGGTGCAGCAGGCTGAGGAATGTGAAGGACCTGAGAAGCAGGCTGCCACTCAGCAGACCACCACATACAGTACCAGCCCGCCACCACCCCCACTCCCGTGGCCCTGCGCTCGGGCTCTTGCTAGCACTGACACCACCAGCCGACCGTCCTTTTATTTCTTACCACCTGTGTCCCCCACTAGGTTGTCATCTCCACAGAGCCAGGCTTGATGTGTCTTGCTTATGACTATGCCCGCAATGACTCAGACAGGTGCCTTTAAATATCTACACGAATAATGGATGGCGCTTAGGCTGACCACTTATTAGCTGTGTGACCTCGGACAAGTTACCTACCTCTCAGCTAACATTTATGCCCTTACTATGTGCCAGGCACTATTTATCTGAGAGCTTTATACATATTAACTCGTATAAGCCCCACAGAAATCCTATGAAGTGGTCACCATTATTATCCCTGATCATTGACAGATGAGGGAAGTGAGGCCCAGAGGGTGGGGTGACCTGTGGCAGGGAAGGGGCTGGTAGCAGAGCCGCGAAATCACAGGCCGGAACAGGTGCTTGGCCTAGAAGTGAAGTAACTGCCGGCCCCCACTTCTGCCCCCTCCTCCTTGTAACCTGTTGCCTATAAAACAGGGCTAATCACAGTTCTCCTTTCCCTACCCGCCCCCTGCTCGCCTCCCTCACACACACACACACACACACACACACACACACACACACACACGGGCTGAGCCCTCATGGAGAGGGTGCAGAGGCACAGTTTGGGTTCTGGGGAAGGGCTGGGATCAAGGTATCATGAGCTCTCTGTCTGCCTCCATCAGCAACAAGCTTCCTCAGAGGCCTGGGTGCTGACCCCTCTTCCTCTTTCCACACACTCTCTGGGTCTTAGGTGCTCCTGCTATGAAATGGGGAAGCGTCTCTCAGGCTGGGGGGCATGAGAGAGGGAATAGACTCATAGTGATATGGAGGGATTTCCACTTCTGGTAATATGGTGGTCTCTGCCTGTTCCCACTAAAAACAACAAAAAATGCTGGCCAGAATTAAAAAACATGTTTCAAAGCAATGAGGCGCTCACAGGGCAGTAGGGAACGAGGAGACCAAAATCTAAGAGAAAGCCAACTCCAGGGTGTGAGCAGGGCACCAGGGCCCCTCATGCCCCAAGAGCATTGGCCAAGCTGAGCCCAAACGACCTTTGGCTTTCATAGTCTGTGGGGTGAGGAAGACAGAAGCTGAAGCCCAGGCCTCATTGAGGTGGGGAGACAAGGGGCACAGCCCCCCATAATGCTGGGACCCCAAAGGGCTACATACTCCAGCTAAAGGCCAGAGGAAACCCAGGCCCCATCCCACCAGACCTCAGGGAGCAGAGGACACAGGACACAGACCTAGGGGCTGTACGCACAGGGAAGCGCACAGGTTCTGTGGCCCACTCACGGCACTTAGGGCCGTGGGGCGCGGGCCGCAGAGAAGTCAGCCTGACTGTGGAAGGGCCCCTCGGAGAGTTTGCCTTCCTTCCTCCTGTTCTTCTAGGGCGTGGGCCGCAGAGAAGTCAGCCTGACTGTGGAAGGGCCCCTCGGAGAGTTTGCCTTCCTTCCTCCTGTTCTTCTAGACGCCCTGCAGATGGTCTCCTCAGGGGAGAGAGCAGTCCACAGCCCAAAGTGACCAAGAACCATTGACCTGGTCAGGCAGGGAGGCTACCTTAGGTGTTCTCACCTGCAAGTGGGGGGTGCTAAGCAGATGCTCTCCAAGACCCCCTCTGGCATAGGGATTCTCTAAGGGTGAAGCTATGTGTGCTTCTGGAGTGAAGAGGTGGGGGTGGATGTGATGGATCAGCCTGTCTCCTCCAACTGTGCTGGAAAGGGTTGGGGGTTGCCGTGCCCAGTTCCCAGCTCTGGGGGTGGACAATAAGGGGGTTGTGTCTGTGGCCCCGAATGGGCCTTTGATGTATGCATGGGTGGGTGGGCTGGTGGGGCCTATAATAAGGGCCGCCAGGGAAGGAGGCAGGGGAGCCCCTGGGGGTATCCTCAGCTTGACCTACTTGGGTCCCCATAATTGCTCCCTTCCTTCGTTGGGAGGCTACAAATAGGGATGTCCCGTCTCTAGCCTCCTACAGCTGAAACCAACACCAGCGGTGAGTACGAGCTGCTTGGGTGCTGCCCTGGATTGGGAGGCAGGGCAGCTCAGGGTCTGGGCGTGGGTGCAGAGGGACGAGCACAGCAGGGACTGGCCAGGTGAGGGACGTCAGATATGGTGGGCTCAGGGGCCCTTTGTACAGTGAAGGGCTGTCTGGAAGCTTGGGCTAGGGGTGTGGAGCGTTGAGGTCTGGCAGGGGTCGGGGCTTCACAGGGAAGAGAGGATTCCCTCCAGTCTCCAGGCACCCAGCTTCTGGAAGAGCAACTGTGGTGGTGCCAGCCAGGCCGGCCGGAGCCCAGAAGGGCAGCTGAGCACCCCTGAGTTTCCTTATTCCCTGCGTGTGTGGCCCTTTCCTCTGCTGGGAACACAGACACCTTGCTCCCATGCTGGTCTGTCACAGAGAGACCACAGGCAGTGCTTTGCCCCATCGCCCCGCCCCCAGCCGTGCCAGCCTTCTGCTCCACAGGGCCCAGCAGAGGGGCATCAGGGACAGAGCCATGGCCTGGCAGCCTTGCTGCACACTCCTGTCCCCTAGGCTCACAGGGGAATAGTACTGCCTTCCCGACTGCCTCAGGGTTTCCCAGGCTGGAGGCAGCCTCCCAGAAGGCCGTGGGATTGGGGGGAGGCGGGCACTTCCAGGAAAGCCTGCCCCTCTGACAGAACAGGGTGGTCCTATGCAGAGCCTTCTATCTCACGACCTCAGGGAGCAGGGAGACAGCTTCAGGTGGGGGCAAATCACAGACGGGTAAATACCTGAGCTGACTCTCTCTGTGGACTGCCGGTTCAGGTCCCTGAGTAGGCCTGAGAGGTGGAATGAACCCCAGTTTACAGGTAAGGCCCCTGACACCCAGTGTCAATGGCTCATCTGAGGTTGCATGGCTGGTTCGATGCACAGGGGATCCCAAGCAGAGTGCACGGGAGGAGGGATGGGTGACGGTGGTGGTGATGAGGTGGTGGGGGTTCCTCTCAGACCTGGCCCCTCCCTGAGAATGCCCAGCTTCTCCAAGGGCCTGAAGATGGGGCACACAGGGCAAGGGTCTCCTTGTGCTATTTCGTACGGAAGGAGTTTGGGTCCTAAAGGTCAGGAGGCTGTATCTCATGGTGGTGCAGAGTGGGACTGAGTCCTTCCTGGGTGTCAGGGACGAGAGAAGGTAGACAGTCAGGGAGTCCTCAAGGATCCCCAGTGTGGGGGTGTGGTTGGGGGGTGGGGCACTCTCCCTGAGGAATTTGCAATGATGTTAGGGAAAGAAGACCCCCATCCAGGAAAATACCAATGGGGTAGTAGGGAAATAAATTAGAAGGGGCCGGAGTGGTCAGGGAGGGCTGCTCAGAGGGGAGCTTGTGGGGCCCGAGGCCTGGTGGAGACTAAGGTCTGGGAGCAGTCCCTGGGAAACGCCCTGGGCAGAGGTGCCCTGGGCCTCAGGCATGAGTCTCACACGCTTGTTCTCTGACAGTGAGGATGGCCAGGCCTCTGGAGCAGGCGGTGGCTGCCATCGTGTGCACCTTCCAGGAATATTCGGGGCGCTGCGGGGACAAGCACAAGCTCTGTCAGGCAGAGCTCAAGGAGCTGCTGCAGAAGGAGCTGCCCACCTGGACCCCGGTGAGCACCTGGGGTGGCCAGTCTGCGGGGGAGCACTGCCTGGACTCTGCAGAGACAGACCCGGGGGCAAGCTCTGAGCAAGTGGGGTACAGGCGAGTCTGTGAGGAGGGGACACCAGAAAGGGAACGGACGTGGCAGCAGCGCCAGTGTCCTCATCTGTGAGACGGGAAGGAGAGTTGCTACACCTGCTGCTTTGCAGGGCTACTGGGAGGACGGAGGGAGAGACTCAGGGGCAGACAGTGGGATCTGAGAGGGACGGTGTGGGGGGCATGGACATGGGCGAACGACCAGAACAGGAGGCTGAGGCTGGCCCCCAGAAGGGTGTGGGAGGCGTGGGACCGCCCAGGAGGGGAGGGCAAGAAGTGGCATGCTCCCTCCTCAACCTGCCCCCTCCCCCTCCCCCTGCACAGACCGAGCTGCGAGAGTGTGACTACAATAAGTTCATGAGTGTTCTGGACACCAACAAGGACTGTGAGGTGGACTTCGTGGAGTATGTGCGCTCCCTCGCCTGTCTCTGCACCTTCTGTCACGACTACTTCAAGGACTGTCCCCCGGACCCCCCCTGCTCCCAGTAGGCTCTGCTCCCATGGGCAAGGGTCTGCTGGGGCAGGACCTGATACGCTGGCCGGGCCTACCCATGAGGCTGGGGAAGTGAGGGGACCTCCCCAGGATCACAGCTAGAAAAACACAGAGCAGTCAGTTGCTGCCTCCCTTCTGAGGCTGTGACGGGAGGGGGGCGAGGCTGCCCTGCACAAATGAGGCCCTTTTAACTCCTAATAAAGAACTGGTGTCACTTGGTTTGGCTTGCTTCTTTTGATAGTCCGGGTCTTGGGGCAGAGTCCTCACTCCTCTCTGGTCTTTTGTGCTGGAGAGCAGGAGGCCAACCCAGCGGAAACATACGGTCTCCACCTCCGGTGGGAGGGGTGGGGTCAATATGAGGACAATGTCTAGGGGCTTTGGGGGTGTCTCTTTCTCTCTCTTGGGCCTTTGAAGGAGAAGCTCCCCCAGGGCTGTCAAGGAGGATGCCAGGGCAGCCTGAGATTCCCTGGGGATGGTGCTCAGTCCTCGGCAAGGCTGCTCTGAGGAGGAGGGTGGGGTGTAGGGGTGGGGCGGGCTTGTTGGCCTGGCTGTGGGAGCCCAGAGAGCAGAACTAATAGGATTAGGGTGTCTGAGGTCTGGCTAGGGTATTGCTCCTGGCCAGGGAGGCGTACCCTGCATCGGAAGGGGAAGGGGGCACCTTGAGCCGTAACTCATCCCTGAAGCCATAACCAGTTGAGGGCCTTAGCTGCCCCCCACTCCTGATCCTCATTCAACTTGAGTTCATACCCCACTCTGAGAGGGTGACCCTGATCCCTGCCTCCCCCATTTTGTGCCATTTCTCCTCTAACTTTCCACCCCAACCTGCGTTCTTCACTTTCATTCTTTCCCAACTCTAGATACCCCCTCCTGATACCCTCCCTCTCCCCAGTCCTCTGGGTACCTGCTGTCCATCCCTGAGCCCCACACTTGACTCCTACTCCCTACTCCATCACTGCTGCACCCAGGACCTTTGTCCACTGACATGCCTGGGGCGGTCCTAGCATCAGCTTTGGGTGTTGGTCTGCTCCTCCTCCAGACCCCCAGCTCCTGCCCTGGACCTCACTCGGCATGGCAGAGTGCCCTTTGGAGCGGGGGAAAGGGCAGCAAGAGCCATACCGCAACACTGAGCCTGGGGTCCCCTCCTTAGTGCTTGGGCAGCCACATTTCCAGGGCAATTTCTTTTTTTCAAGATTTTATTTTATTTTATTTCATTTTTTAAGTAGGCTCCATGCCCAATGTGGGGCTTGAACTCAAGAGATTCAGAGATCTAGAGTAGCATGCTCCACCAACTAAGCCAGCCATGGGCATTTCCAGGGCAGTTTCTCACCCATCACTGACCTCCCCTGTATCCTGCTTTCTAGCTGCCCAGTGGGACCACTCCTTCTCTGTCCTCCACACCCAAGGCACAGACTTCCTCTCGCTCCCTAAAATTCAGATCGAGCTGTGCCCACCAGGGAGTGCCCACCCCGCTGAGACCCCTGCCTGTGTGGGCTCTCCCATTGTCCAGTGTGCCTGCCCAGGGCCGGAAGCGGGTTTTCCAGCGGGGCTGGTGGAGGGGCCCATAGGAGGACTGTCTCTCACTCTCCCCCAACCCCTGCTATGGGCAGGGCCTGGCCGGGGTATAAATAGGACAGACCGCTGGGTTTTCCCCACTCCTTCTCTCTTCGCACCCTCTCTCCTCATCTCCTCCTCCCTCTTGGCCTGGTGAGTCGTGGTCTCCTGACTAGCACGCAAGGGGTGTCAGGTTGAGGCTGGGGTCAGGCTCGGGGCAGAGGAAGGAGTGGCTGGTGGGGGCCAGATGAGCTAACTGGGTCCAGCATGAGATTCTGATGAGGAGGCCCTGTGGTGGGAGGTGTGTGTGTGTGTGTGTGTGTGTGTGTGCACCTGCACGCACATGCAAGGGAAAAAAACCAACAAAACGAGAAGCGTGCCGGTGGCTGGATTTGACCTAGCTGGGTGGTAATGAGATGCTGGGCTTTGCAAATGTTGTTGCTGTAGTGTGTGTGACCTGTGGGTCTGCACATTGGCTTGTGTTTGCTGGGTTGCACAAGCCTGTGTGTGCACACTCGGGTGTGGGAAGAAAACTGAAGGCAACTGGCCTTTTGTCTGGTTGTGTCCTATGGGCCTCTGCTCTGCACCCAGCAGCCCAGCCAAAGGGAGCTTGCCTCCCCACCCCTCCCTTGCACCCCTGCCCCTGCCACCTCACCCTGCCCCTCCCTACTCTAGGGCTAGGCCACTTGTTTTTTCCGCTGCAGGCCCCTGGGCGGGCCTCCAGCAGCCCTGGCAGGGGGAGAATGCGGCAGGGCGGGGCTGCTGTGGTCGTGGGAGTACTGGGGCGGGGGTGGGGGGGGGTGGGGGGGGAATAGTTGGTGAGGCCCAGCCTGAGCGAGGCTGCCTGAAATCCAGAGCCTGTGCAGCCTGTGTCCTCGCCAGTGTTGGCGGCCCGAAGCACACACTTTCCACCAGGAGCTGAGCCCCACCTTTCTGGGGTCCCCCTCTGGTGAGAGCAGAGTCTCACCAAGTGGTCCCTGAGGGATGGGAGTGGGGTGGGGCATTCTGAGGGTGGGGCTGGGGAAGATAAGGGTGTCTCTGGGACCCTGTCCTCAGATCCTGACTGCCACCATGGCATGCCCCCTGGAGAAGGCTCTGGATGTGATGGTGTCCACCTTCCACAAGTACTCCGGCAAGGAGGGTGACAAGTTCAAGCTCAACAGGTCAGAGCTAAAGGAGCTGCTGACCCGGGAGCTGCCCAGCTTCTTGGGGGTGAGTGGCTACTGCCTGGGAGTATGCCCCTGTGTGCCCCCTTCTCCGCAGAGGAGGGGCAAGGCCTGGGTCGGGGGGCACCAGTGTTTTGGCAGAGTCGTAGCTACAGCTGGTATCTGTCACCGAGATGGGGACGTCCGGTCAGAGAGCTTGCTCTAGTTGGAAACACAGTGAGCACCCGCCGCTCATTTCCTGGAGCCCAGCAGGAAGAGGGCTGGGAACGAACAGGTAGGACGCCCGCCAGGCTTCGCCAGGTGCTTTGTACAACTCAACCGAAGGGCAGCAAAAGTTCAGAGAGGCTAAGGAACTTCCTAAGGTAATGAAAGTGCAAAGCTGAGATCCACAAACCGGGGTGTTTACCATCAGTCCAGCAATGAATAATTTTTGAGTCTCTGTGGATGTGAAGACACAGTTATGGAGACACATGCCTACGCTCCTGAGCGTTCACAGCTCCCATTTGTATCCAGCTTTATGCAGTTTGTGTGTTACCTTCATGACCATTGTCTAGTTGCATTCTTGGAACAACCTTGGGGGAAGACATTGTGGTCCCCTTCTCCAGCTGTGCGCAGGTACTCAGAGTTCCTCATCCCTTGGGGGGAACTTCTGTGGCCCCAGCCTAGCCCCTGAGAGCTGGGGTTCCAAAGCGGGGCCCCCAGGGAGTGGCTGTGCCTTCCTGAGCTCCCATCTGAAGATGGAAACCTGGTCTAGTCTTGGCTCCATCCCCAGACTTTGTGGTTCTACCTGTTGCCTCTTCCCTGCAGAAAAGGACGGATGAAGCTGCCTTCCAGAAGCTGATGAGCAACTTGGACAGCAACAAAGACAACGAGGTGGACTTCCAGGAGTACTGTGTCTTCCTGTCCTGTGTTGCCATGATGTGCAATGAGTTCTTCGAAGGGTTCCCCGATAAGCAGCCCCGGAAGAAGTGAAGGCCCGCATGTGGGTGGGGGGTAACCTACCGGTTGGTAGAGGGCACAGGACCTCACCCCGGCTCCACCAGATGTGTGCACGCTGTGCACCAAGTTCAATAAAGATTCTTGGAAGCTTTGAGGCTGATGGTCTGAGAAACTCTGGGTCTGGGGTGGGGGCTGAGGGACATGTGGGGGTGGGGAGCACAGGCAGTGGGCAGCGGTTTTGTGGAGAGCAGACTAGTAAAGGTGGGGGGGAGGGGTGAATGGAAGACTGTCCTTGTGCATGCATGATGGAGCTGACTGATGGGGCCGAGGGCAGGGAAAAGAACCCCCAAAGGCTTGGAAAGCCCCAGCTGTGGGGTCTTTGCCAGCAGAATTGTCCCTCCCACCTCAGCCTTGCCTCTGGAGGGATTGAAGTTCTTTTGCATCTGCTCCTGGCTGGGGCCTGGAATGGAGTTTGGGCGCCCTGCAGCAGGGAGCTGAATCAGGAGGGCCCTGCCCTGTGGGCCCCTTCCAGTGACCTGGTTTTCAACCCAGGGATGGGTGAGTCCATCCTGTCCATGGTTAGGTCAGGGAGGCCGCGTGGAAGGAGGCCACGCCATTGCAGCAGCCTGAGAATATCACCCTCTCAACCTTTGCTGTCCCTGCCCCAGAGACCCTGGAATGAGGGCTGTTATCAGTTAGAATCATGGTCCTTCAGAGAAGGGAAAAAGGACCTCAAAGGGAGGAGTGGAGGATAGTAGCTGGGGTGGAAGTGAGGGAGATGGTGGGAGGTGGCCATAATTTTGGAGATGAAATTCCAGACACATGATCTGATAAATGAAATTGAGATTTTTCTTTCCCCAGAAAATATCAGGCAGGATGTTGTATCCCGTCAGGTTAAAGGCTGGTGGGTGATTGAAGTTAGACTTCCAGGCCAGGTCCAGGTGGTATGGGGGCCTTTAGGGAGGACGTGAGTAAATGTGGTGTCCCGCAGCAGGGGGTCTTAGTCCCTTGACCTTTCAAGCTTTCCCCCTTCCTTCTCATTATATCCTGTTTTTCTCTCAAGTGTCAGAGCAGTGGGGCAGCTGACTCAGACGTTCCCTCAGAGTGTGACTGCAGAGGCCTGGGTAGGATTTTGGTCCAGGAAAAAGCCTGCCTCCTCCCCTTCTGTCTGGCCCCTGGCCGCCCATCTTCCACGGGAGTGACCTCCCCTAGGGACCGCTCCTGCATCACTCTACCTCGGAAACTCCTGTTGCTCAGTGACCAGTCCCTGCTGCTTCTCTAGCCTTGCCAATGGGGGTGGGGCAGAGTGGGCACAGAGGGGAGCGCCCAAGCAGGCCAGGTGGGGCTGCAGCACCCACAGGTGCAAGCCCCTAACTCCAGCTCTGTTCTCATACTCGAACTACTTGGTGGTAGAACAATGTCTCTCCTGGGATTCAGGCAACTCTCCCTGCCCCCTGCCCCATTCCTTCCTGCCCCCCAAACCTGCTTCCCCAAAATCCACAACCTCTACACCATCACCTGGCCCTACCCTTCCTGGGCCCCTTCCCGGTCCCTGATTCCCAGGCTTCCATTCCAAGTCTCTGACAATTTTTTCCCATGAAGATGAGTGAGGCTTAGAAGAAATCACTTTTAAAAGCCCTTTAGGGGCACCTGGGTGGCTCAGTCGTTAAGCGTCTGCCTTCGGCTCAGGTCGTGATCCCGGGGTCCTGGGATCGAGTTCCACATCGGCTCCCTACTCAGCGGGGAGCCTGCTTCTCCCTCTCCCACTCCCTCCGCTGTGTTCCCTCTCTCCCTGTGACTCTCTCTGTCAAATAAATAAATAAAATCTTAAAAAAAAAAAAAGCCCTTTAAAAACCTTAGGCTCCATACTCGCTAATGACCTTGACCTTGACTTTCATGCCCTTGGCAGGAAACATCTTCCCTCATGGATTCCCATCTCAAGGTGTGTTTGCTCTGCTCTTGGTGTGGATGGGAGGGCCCCAGTGTGCAGACTGGCCTAGGGTGAGAGAAGATACCCTGTGTTTGGCCCACATTTCCTGGGTCTTTTTTCCCCGGGGCAGCTGGCTTCTCTTCTACCCTGTTGTCCCATCAGATTGAGTGCTGGTTTTTGGTTGGGAAAATAAAGCTTCTGGAACTGAAGATGTGTGTGCCACAACGAACTCAATGTGCCCCCCTTCCACTCTGTTTGGAAACAAGGAAGGCAAGATTGGCAGAGGGGTTTCTCCCCAGCCCTGTCCCATGAGGCTCTGATCTGGGCCTTCTCAGGTCCCTCTCCTTCTCATTGGCTCTTTCCCTCCCCTGGTTTCCTGGGGACCAGAGCAAGGGAACAAAGGCAGGGAGTGGTAGGAGGGAGCCTGTTTCTGCTGTGTGGGTTGTCTGCTGCTTCCTTCCCTGGCGAGTCCTTCCTTCTCACCTCCCTGCTCATCTATACGCTGTGGCAAGCAGGGCAATGAGGCCAGACCATGACAAGCCTTGAGGAAGGCCTGGCATGATGAGTTGGCATGCCCTCAGGAAGGAGGACCGAGTGTGGAGCTGTGGTTATCAGAATTTCTTGACAAGTGGCTCTAGGCATGGAGTTGTGATCAGAACCAGCCAGGATGCTATTGCAGCCACCCAGAGAACCTGTGGTCCTGGCTGAGTCTCCTGGAGTGCGAGAGGGGGGTGGGTGATGCTGAGGTTTTTGGGGTGCTGAGAGGTGAATGACAGATCCAATTCAAGAATCACTAGGGGGGCTTGGGCTGAAGATGAGAGCCAGCTGCTTCTTCCTTCTTGCTCTGGACTCCACACAGATTAACCTGGAGCCCCCAAGTTTCTTGGGTGTTGCCTCCTTCCTAAGGGGAAGTGGTTTTCGAGTCTGAGTTATGGGAGCTGCCTCTTCCCTTGGGTGGGTGTGGCTGTGCTGACGGACATGGGGGGCCACATTCAAACCCAACCTCTGGATCCAGCTCTCAGAGGGGTCCTGGAGATTTTGGTGGGCCCACCCCTCTTGGTGCCAGTTGCATGCAGTTCTCTGGGCCAGAGACTGAGACCAGCTGGACAAGTCCAACAACCTCTGCCCTGTTTCCTGCTGAGACCTTATCTCCCAGTTCCAGCCCCAGCCCCCTCCAAACCCTGGACTCTCTCTTTGCCTCTACCTCTATAATGGCACACTCCCCACTGTCAGGTGATTCAGGCACCGGGGCAAAGGAGGGAGATTGGGGTGAGGGCTGCCTCCGGGAAGTGAATGTCCAAGCTCTATGGGCCAGGGGCCCTTTCTCGGCTCCATCATCTGCCACCAGTTCATCTTTGGGGAGGTCACCTTGTCATCTGCCCCTAGAGCCCTTTTCCAGCATCTCCTAAGCAGTCCCCTGTGTAAGCTCCTTTGGGGGCTGGCTGGTCTCATGGCTCTGGCTGTTCCACGTTTGCCTCCGGTCTTACTACAACCTGTTCTGGTACATTTGGGTCCACTTGTTGGTAGATTCTGTGTCATCTGGGTTCTAGTTTCTGGTTCTTTAGAGAGAGCCTCGAGGCTGGGCTAGTGATAGGGGAAGCAGAAGGTCTGGCTTCCCCTGGATGTTGATCCTTCTCTCTCCCTTCACCCTCCAGAGCCACACACTGATGGAGACACCTCTTGAGAAGGCCCTGACCACTATGGTCACCACTTTCCATAAATATTCGGGGAGAGAAGGCAGCAAACTGACCCTCAGCAGGGAGGAACTAAAGGAGCTGATCAAGAAGGAGCTGTGTCTTGGAGAGGTAGGTGACTGTCACCCCCACCCCAAAGCCTGAATTCTCCCTGTGCACACCATGGGGGAGGAGGGAAACAGAGGAAGCACCATACCACTGTCAGGGGCTCCCCTTCTGTGAGGTAGGAAGCCCCAGTTCTGCATCTGTAGAGACCCAGAATAGGGGACACACATCTGCCCTCCAAGTGCTCTAGTCTCAGCCAGGAGCAGGACGGCCAAAGGGAACTGACAGAGACCTAATGAAGAAGGTGGACATCTTGGGCCACCAGATGCAAGACCTCTGTGACCAGGGACGAGTTGGGTTTCACTGGGAAGGAGGAAGGGCAGCATCCAGAGGGTGAATTACAGCCTGTGTGAAGGTTTAGAGGTCAGGGAGCCTTCTTTGTTGAGGCCAGGCCCACACAGCCATGGAAGAGCCTGTGTGAGGAATCATGGGGGACAAGGCACCAGGGTGCCCAGCTTGAGCTGCGCACGGCTCAAGGGCAGGGCCTTCACCTGTGTGCCTGGTACATCCAGGGCTCTCAGCTGGCACTGACATGGGAACAAAAAGGATCATTCTTCTAATTTGTGAACACAAGGTTGGAAGGAGACAGATTGTTTCTTGCCAGATGGAGACGGTGGGAGGTGGCTGACCAAGGGGAAGGTCTATGAGGAAGTTATGTTATTTTTACAGTTCAAAAAAACAGAGGCTCAGAAACATTATCTAACTTGTCTAAAGACATCCAGCTAGTAAGAGGCTGAGTCCTTCCTTTTTCCTTGAAAATCCAGTCTTGGGGGCCTCTCCAGTCACATTGTGAACCTTGGTGGGCCTCCCCAGAGAGAACCTCCCCTTTGGGCTGTGGGCTGGAGCAGGTGTGGGTTTCACCAAGCCTGCCCTCCGGCTTTCCTGCCAGGCTCTCTGCATCCTGGAGTTAACGAGGGCAAAGGGAGGGGTGGCGGCTCCCCTAGGCGTTAATTACAGGGGAACAGAGGCCCTGGGGAAGGCCTGACTTTAACAGGAGCCCAGACTGGGGGTAAGGACCGCGTCACAGAGAAGCTGTTTCCATCTCCATTTGTCCTGACGTCTGTCTCCTGTGGAAAAGTGGGAGCTAAGGGCAGTGAAGAGGGGAGGGCAGAACAGGTCCGTGTTTTCTTCCTGTCCCACGGGAGGGCCCTGTTTCCGTCCTCTTGGTGGAGCTGGGCTGGGAGAGCAGGGGACAGACAGAGTATGGCTGAGCCGCGGCCTCATCCTCACACAGGTGTGCTGCAAGCTCTCCCAGAAAGGGAGGCCGTGTTGGCTTCTGGGCTCCGGCACACTGCTCTCATGGCGTGTTGTCTGGGTCGGTTCTCAACTATCCTCTACAGAGACAGAAGAAGTCTGAATCATGCTCAGTGCCACGTAGTCACCAAGGCATTTCGGTTGGACACTGTATAAAATCTAGATGATTATTTCTTTGGATGGTGGGAAGTGCTGAGGAAAGGGGGTGTTGGGCCAGCTTTCCTGCGGACGTTCGCTTAGGTTCAGGAGTCAGGTCACTGCGTGGTGCCAGGCCCCAGACGGGGTGTGGGCTGGGGGAGATGCTGGGGGTTGAGATGTTCAGAGTGTTGCTGACCCAGATGAGGATCACCCTGAGACTGCCTTCCCAGGGGGTGGGTGGCACCACGCAGTGGTGAGGCAGGGCTAGGTGGGGTGGCTGACCTGTCCCTCTCCCTGGGCCCTTGAAGAAGATGAAGGAGAGCAGCACTGATGACCTGATGAAGAGCCTGGACAAGAACAGTGACCAGGAGATCGACTTCAAGGAGTACTCGGTGTTCCCGACCACGCTGTGCATGGCCTACAACGACTTCTTCCTGGAGGACAGTGAATGACCAGGGCTCAGCCCCTTGCCCCTGGTCTCTGCAACCCCTCTCACAGCTCCTCTCTGGTCCCTTGCCCTCCTCTCCCTTCTGGATGGACCCCGCTTCAGCCTTCCCTTCCAGCAGGGGAAATAAAGATTTTCCATTCCTGGCTGGTTTTGAGGAAGTCTTGTCCACCTTGCCTGGGGGTGGGCGGGGCAAGGCAGAACTTTCCCTTGAGTGGGTTGAGAGCCTCTGGGAGTTAGGGTCCTGGGCTTCCACCCCACTTCCTGCCCTTCTTCAGTGTGGATGTCACTGAGCTTGCTGGGCTTAGTTTTGCCTTTCCGGAAAATGGGGGAAGTTGGGCCAGGCTTTCACTTGCCTCCCAGAGAAAGCTAAGAGGAAGCGCTTTGATAGAGCACAGGCAGTGAGGGAGCTGGGGGAGGCTCCTGAGGGCAGTGGTGGACAAGCCAGTCTGAGGCCACAGAAGGCCACCAGGACAACACCCCATGCCAGCCCCCTTTCCCTCTCCCCCATTTCCCCCTCGGCAGCTAGCCCTACCCACCCCACCACAATCATCTATGGGGTTCAGTGCTTCTGCTGTCTCCACTTCCCCCTGTGAAAATCCTGTCTCAGGAGAGGATCTGGAAAACCTTTTCACTGGAGGGTACATAACTCAGGCAAGCGCCAGTGTGCACATTGCCCGGCAAGAGGCTGCAGGCGGAATTCCAGGCTGGGGTGTGGGGGTGTGGGGGTGTGGGTGGGGAGGGAGGGGGTGCAGTCGGGGAGGAATGGTTGTGAGGCTTGTGGTGGGAATTTGTTTTTGCTGAGGGGTGGGTGTTCCAGATGTCCTTTAAATCATATCCTATAGACCACTGGCTGCTCCCTCTCCTTCATCTGGGGTTGATCCTGAACACCCTCCGGGGCACCCCCGGACCAGGGAGCTGGCTCGGAGCTCGATGTCCCTGGCTTGCAACGGTCACCCCTGGGATCCCGGTTCCATCCCGGGAACCCGGAACAGCCCGGGGCAGGAAGCGCCGAGGGCTGGGGGGGCCCCCAGGGTGTGTCGTGCGGGCGCGGGCTTGGGCGCGGGCTTGGGCGCCCAGCGGGTCTGGACGGGGCGGGCCTGAGGGCGGGGCAGAGGTCGGGGTGGGGCTGGCCGGGGGTGTGTGTGTGTGTGGGGGGGGGGGTGTGTGTGTGGGGGGGGGGGCGAGTTGGCTGGGGTAGGCGGGGCGGGGTTGGGGGCCTGGCGGCGGGAGGGGTGGGCTCTGGCTCGCCGGGCCTCGGCTCCGCGGCCGCTAAAAGGCGCGCTGGCCACCGCCCCGCCGGTCCCTGGACGCTCTCCCGGCCAAGCGGTGAGTCCTCGCGGGCCCACCGGGTTCCTGTGGCCGCCCGCCCTGGGGTGAATCGGCCCCCGGCCAGCGGATGGCCGGCCGAGTGTACCCCGGGCTGCGGGAGGGGTGTGCCCCGGGTGTGTAAGCGCGGCCTGTGTGCGGCCCGCCTCATACTCTCCAGTTTCTGGAACCCCTGGAGAGGTGGAGGCTAGCTCTCACCTGTGGTCTTATTTGCTCCTTGACCACCTCTCTCCTCTGGGCCTTCAGGTCTGCCTCTCCCTCCCGCTCAAGCCCTGGGCTGGCTCCTGATGGTGACACCGATGCGGGTGGGGACAGAGCACTTGGGGAATGTGAATGTGGGTGGGTGGGGAGGCCGCTGGGCACTGACCAGGCTTTCCATCCCCAGCTCTGAGCCCAGTGCCCAGCCATGGCGTGCCCCGTGGTTCAGGCCATTGGTCTTCCACAAGTACTCGGGCAGGGAAGGTGACAACACTCTGAGCAAGAAGGAGCTGAAGGAGCTGATCCAGAAAGAGCTCACCATTGGTGCGGTGTGTAAGGCCCCTCTTCCTCTGCCCTTTAGAAGCAGGGTGAGGAGAGGGAGAGGTGCCAGGTGCATCTGGCTCACAGTTATCCACATTCTGGGGCCCAAGTCCACATAGCTTACTGGGACCATTGGTCAATTCCTAATACTCTCAGCCTGGTACTCTCCCTAGTGAGGAGCCGGAGCGGAGGAGAAGTAAAGCCAAGTGAACCCAAGGTGGACTCAGTGTCTTTGACAAAGAGAGTGCACAACCTCTTGTGTGAGGGAGGGCTGCCTGGAAAGGAGAAAGGGAGAGAACCCAAGGTTCTCATCACACTGAGTCTGGATTTCCCTTTCTGACATGCTAGAAGCTGCAGGATGCTGACATTGCAAAGCTGATGGACGACCTGGACCGGAACAAGGACCGGAACAAGGACCAGGTGGTGAACTTCCAGGAATATGTCACCTTCCTGGGAGCCTTGGCTTTGATCTACAATGATGCCCTCAAGGGCTGAAAATAAATCAGGAAGGTGGAGACACCCTCCATCGGGCCTGCCTGAGTCAGCTCCAGTGGTGGGTAACTGTTCAATAAATATCTTTTTTTGGTCAAGTCTGCCTCCATGTCCTGGCTTCTAGTGACTTCTGTTCCCTCCTCTTCGTGGTGCTGCGCCAGCCATCAGAATTTGCTCATGGTCACCACTGGGAGTGACTCAGCAATGCCCCACACCTGGGGCCACCCTGACCAGGCCGCCGCTAGCTCGTGAGGTGCCTTTACATGAATTAGAAAAGGGTCTCGCCCTGGACGAAGGCATCTTAAGGGACACTCAGGTGGTCCCCAGGAAAGAGGGTTTTTAGGATGTGGGTGGGGAAGGAAATGGTGCCTGAGCCAGGCTGGGATGGGTCCAATGGGGGGGGGGGCAGAGATAGTCCTGGTGATGCGATGTAGTTTTTGAATGTTGGTGAGGTTGGTGGGGGCTGGAGCCGATGGCCAAGAAAGATTTCTTGAGACATCCTTGGTGCGAAAAGGTGGTTTTATTAAAGCTCGGGGACAGGACCCGTGGGCAGAAAAGAGCGGCTGTCCCTGGATTGTAAGGAGCAACTGATTATATACCTTTGGGTTGGGGGAAGTAAAGACAAGGGAAGATCCAGAAGGACTTTCATACATTAAAGCCGTCCGGACTCTCAGGATACTGGAGGCCTTGCTATTGTCAAGCTCAGGTTTTTCCCTCTAGCAAAGCATTTACTTTAAGACCGTTGGGAGCTTCCTGCAGGAAGGTATACTCTGCTAGCCTCAAGTATTTTGTCAATGGGCTGCAGACTATAAGGACATTTAAATTTATTTACATTTCCTTCTGCCTTTGTTTCCCACATCACTGGCAGGGTCCCTGAAGACAAAGACCCGTTTTGCTCTTGGTGTGCTGACAGAATGGGTGGGGGCCGGTCCACTTTCTTCCTACTGTGAAGTGGAGGCAGAGAGGGCACATCTGGCATGCCCAAAGTCCGGCTGGAGTGTTCTGAGGCCACTGAGGCCACTGTAGGGCTGAGTCCACAGCAGCTGCCCATGGCCCAGTTGAAGGTGGGGGGCCTACTTTAGGAGCCTGTCTCTGTATTTTGTCTTGGGGGTGGTGGTCTGAGTAGCTCATAGCTGCAGGAACGTGAGAATCATGGGGTGCTTTGATGGGGGCAGGGTGGGGTCCCTGGGGCTGGGCCAACCACAGCTTCAAGCCTTTCAATATTGAGCTGGCCCATGCCTGCAGCCTCAGAATGAATCATCCTAGTTATTTCATGGGAACCAGTGGCTCTCAGCCCCCATCAGGGAGAATGACTAATTGAATTATTGTCTGAATCCATTGTTTGCATTTGTGGTTTCAGGGTGCGGGGCATGGGGATAAACTGTATCTCACGGCAATGGGGCATTTGTCACTGTTCTCTCCCCTCCAGGCCTAGTCTGAGCCAGGCAAGCTCCTCCGTAGGTTCTGGACACCTCAGAGGGAGACCAGAGCCTCCTTCCCCTCTTTCTTCCCCACTTCCTGGGGGCCCAACTTTGTGCAATTGTCTTCCTTCTCCATGGGCCTGCGAAGAGTGAACAGTCGAGAAAGGGCAACTAGTCCCTCCTCTAGTTGCCCCTCCTGCCCCGCAGGGAGTAGGAGCTGGCCCTGACGGGAAGCAGAAGAGATCCAGGGCTTCCTGCTCCCAGGCCGAAGAACCTTGTCCCAGCCTTGGTCGGCTCTATTTAACTCGCTCTGGCAAAGTACCTGACCCGCCGACGGTGGTAGGCAATTTGGGACGTGGAGCGTGCGCCCTCGTGTGGGCGGAGAGCAGAATGCTGGGGGGAGAATGGCAGTGGTTTTCTTGAACCCCTGGGGAGGGGCCCGTGTTGATGGAACCCGCAGCTCTGGCTCTCAGGGAGCTCTTCTTATGAAGGGGGGAGACAGGATTTGCCCGCCCAGGGAATGTCAGCAGGGGTATCTTTTGGCTCCATAAAGCAACTCAACTCTGTCTAAGACACACCTGCGTGAGTGAGTGGATGAAAGGAAGGCGGTTTGCAAAGACAGTTAGAATTTGAACCTCTTCCCCCCCTTTCAGGGGCGAAAAGACCTCGGTGCAAAGAGGAAGGAGGAACTGTCTCCGCAGGTGAAGACCTCCTCCCCCTCCACCGAGGGAGGAGCTGCTCTGGAGGCTGAAGTGAACCCACAAACGTGCGTCGTCCACCTGCCACATGAAGAGGCTTGTCCTTTAGCTTCCGCTTCTCCGCAGTAGTGGAACATGGAGTTAAAGAAATAAAACAAATCCCAAATAAATAGCAAGTCTTTTTGTTTGCTTTGAGAGTGTGATTTTTTAAAAAAGAGATTGTATTTTTAAGTGATCTGTACACCCAGTGTGGGTCTCGAACTCACAATCCCGAAACCAAGAGTCCCAGGCTCTACTGACTGAGCCAGCCAGGTGCGCCCAAGGTATGATTTTAAAGGTTTTTTTGGGGGGGGTGGTGGTGATGGGAGGAAACAGCATTTCCCATGGAATCTGGTGGGTGCAGCCATCAAGGGGTGGAATTGGGGGTGGAGAGGTGCATGGACTGTTCATTTTTATTGTTTGACTCCAATTGATGTAAAGTTGAAGCGAACCCTTTGAGCTCACTCTGTGGAGTAGGGGTCTGGGCTTAGAGGAGAGGGAGAGGTTCAGATATGAGGTGGGGGGGGTTGCTTCATTTATACTCTGTCCCTTTGCTGAAGCTGATCTGGGAGCCAGTTCACCTGCGGGTGGGGCGGTGGAAGAGGCTGTGTGACCCCCATTCCCCTAGCTGAGACTCTCTTCCCCCTCACCATGCATAATTGATATTAATCCTTCAACCTGTGGTCCTGACCGTGTGAAGCCCATTTTTGTAAGCTGGGGTGGGCCCAGGAAGAGGGGTAGGACTGAGTCACAGGATGTAGCTCTCTGTTCCCTGCCCCAGCAAATCTGAAATTATTAAGAATAACGCCACTTTACATTTGTGTAGCACTTTTATTTTTACAAGACACTTTCACATCCATTGTCTTTTGTGATCCTCAGATGTATGTATGTATTTCCCTCATTTAATGAGTGAAAAGGCTGCGTTCCGGTGAGGTAAGAGCCTCTACTTGGGCATGTGATCAGAGCTGGGCCCTCCCCATCCCCTTGCCAGTTCACTAGTGTGCATTTTTTTTTTTAATTTTCTTTATTTAAGTGATCTCTACACTCCACGTGGGGCTCAAACTCACAACCCAGATATCAAGCGTTGCATACTCTTGCAACTGAGCCAGCCAGGCACCCCTAGTGTGCATCTTGTCATGACATAGTTTTCATCTCTTTTTCCTGCATGTCTTAATTATATATTGAGAGTGTATGAGATGATTTTCGGAATACAGCTAAGATTTAAGAATCATGGCACAAAAACCTTGAGTTTTATTAAATTAAATTATTAAATGCAAACAAGTTCAGAATTGTTAATCTTTGGGGGATTTTTTAAATTAATATGTGACTATTTTTTATTTCTAATAATGTTCTTTGCATGTTGCACTTTATATTAATCAGCTTTTGTTTGGTTAATATTTGCATGGTGTATCTTTTTTCATTCTGCTATTATTGACTAGAGTCCTTTTGCTTTTGATTTGTCTTTTGTAAACAGCACATGGAGATTTAAAAATCTGATCAGATAATCTTTCTTTCTTAACTAGATTATTGAATTCATTCAGATGTATTGAAATTACTATGTATTTGTTATTTCTGCCATTCTATTTTATGCTTTCTATTTTCCCTCATTTTCTATATTTCTTTTTCCAATCATAATTGACTGAAGTAATTTTTCACCCATTTCATTTTTGTCCTAATCAGTATGTAAGCCTATTCCTCCTATTTCGGGGGTTACCTTGGATATATTCACATGCATATTGGATTCATTAGTATAAAGTATTCAGTATTTTTTCCTTCTCTTGAAGGAAGAACCTTAAAATATCTAATTCTGATCACCTCTTCCTGGTTTATGCACCATCTTTGTCAGGTGCATTGGTTTTCTCTTTTTGGCTCCACAAGTCCGCATCACCAGTTAATATGTATTTATATTCAGCCACACATTTTACCACTCATTTGTTCAATTTTCCTTATGTTTGAAATTCATCCTTAAATATTTGCTTATCTTTTGGTAGCAAACTCTCTTAGGTTTTGTTTTTCCTTATTATGCACTTGTTCTTGGAAGATATTTTTGGTGGGTTGAGTTTTCTCCCTGCTCATTTAAGTTATTATCCACTTTCTTCTGTTGTTTATTTTTGTTTTTGAAAAAAATCAGCTGTCAGTCTAATTTTTAGTCCTTTATTCCTCTTTTTGCTCTACTATTTTTAAGATCTTGTCTTTGTCTTTGTTTTTCTACGGTTTCATTATTACGTCTCTAGAATTGGATTTGTTTGTATTTAACCTGCTTGAGATTCATTAGTTGGGGTTCATTCAGTTGTTACAAACCTGTGAATTGGTGTTTCTCCTCAGTTTTGGAAAATTCTCATCCATTGTTTCTGTAAATATTTCCTTGGCTCTATTACTTCTTCCTCTCCTCTCCTTTCTTTTCTTTCTGGAACTTTCCATTCTCTCCTCCCTATCTCTTGACCTCTCATTCATGTTTTCCATCTCTCTATCTGTACTACGTTCTGGGTAATTTCTTTTATAGTTCACTAATTGTCTCTGCAACTGTCTCTTGTTTGTGGTTAAACCCATTCATCAAGTTTTAAAAATTTAATTATTATATTTTAATTTATATTTTATTTCATTTCATTTCTCTATTTGGTTCTTCAAATATAGTTGGTATTTTTATAGTCTCTTGCTCTTTGCTAATATATCAACCCATTTTTTTCCTTTAAAGATTTTATTTATTTATTTGAGAGAGAGAGCATGAGAGGGGGAAGGGTCAGAGGGAGAAGCAGACTCCCTGCTGACCCGGGAGCCCGATGCGGGACTCGATCCCGGGACTCCAGGATCATGACCCGAGCCTGAGGCAGTCGCTTAACCAACTGAGCCACCCAGGCGCCCTCAACTGATTTTATTGTTAAACATATTACACATAGTTATTTTATGTTCTGTGGCTAATGTTTCAATATTGGAGTCTTTTTGGGGGCAAATTCTCGTCTCTGTTTCTTCTGGCTCTGTTCATGGTGCCTAGTTTCCTTGTGTGTTTTGTAATTTTTTGACTGTGAGCTCATGTTTCTGGAAATTTTATCTGTGGATATTTTTCAAGTGTCTAGGTTAAAGATGGGTTCTTCTACAGCCAATTTGCATTCATTTCCACCAGGTGCCTTAGGGTACTCTCTGCTGAGGCCATTATATATATATATATGACATATATACATATAAATATCTAATATGAGATATTTATATATAAACAGGTAAGTAAATATATATATACTTTTAGAGAGGGAGTGGGGGGTGGGGGGAACAGCAGAGGGAGAAGGAGAGAGACAATTTTAAGCAGGCTCCACACCCAGTGCAGGGCCTGACGTAGGGCTCAGTCTCACAATGCTGAGATCATGACCTGAACCAAAATCAAGAGTTGGATGCTTAACTGACTGAGCCACCCAGGCACCCCTCTGCTGAGGCCATTTTAATTAATTAATTAATTAATTTTGGAGGGGTTTCTTTTTTAAATTTAAATTCAATTAATTAACATATAGTGTATTATTAGTTTCAGAGGTAGAGTTCAGTGATTCATCAGTCTTATATAACACCCAGTGCTCATTACATCACGTGCCCTCCTTAATGCCCATCACCCAGTTACTCCATCCCCCCACCGCCCTCCCCTCCAGCAACCCTCTGTTTGTTTTCTATGATTAAGAGTCTTATGGTTTGTCACCTTCTCTGCTTTTGTCTTGTTTTATTATTCCTGAGTTTGTTTCCTTTGTAACCAGAATGTAACCAGAATCATGCTGTATGTATTGTTCTTTGATGTGCTTGTTGGAGATGTTCTCAGCCTAGCACACTCCTTTTATCCATTATATATTCCACAGAATTAATGTCACTATTTGGGTTGCTTCATTCTGCTGTTAAAATTATGAGCACTTTTGTGCACAAACTTGAGCACAGGGGATGGAATTTGAGAGGAAGAGTGCCAGTTGGAGCCATTGGCAATCTGAGGTGAAGGCATGTTGACTTGAAATTGAGCAGGTGGCAGGCAGTACATGCTGACTTGGGCAGGAGGGCAGCGGGACTGTGAATTTGGGACCCACAGGCCGATGGCATCATGTGTGACAGGGACGTGGCTGATTTTGCTTTTAACTTTTGTTTTTCTGGGAAACTCGATCTCTCCTTCTATTCTGAATGAAAGCCTTGCTGGATAGAGTGTTCTTGGCTGTAGATTTTTTCCTTTTAGCTGTTTGAATTTATCATGACTCTCTCTTCTGGTCTGCAAAGTTTACACTGAAAAATCCAATGATAGCCTTGTGGGGTTTCCCTTGTATGTCACTGCTTTCCTTTCTCTTGCTGCTTTTAAAATTCTCTCTTTATCACTACTTTTGGCCATCTTATTTACTTTGTATCTTGGTGCAGACCTCTTTGGGTTGGTTTTGTTGGAGGCTCTCTGCCTCCTTGATCTGGATTTCTCTTTCCTTCCCCAGATTCAGGAAGTTTTTAGCTATTATTTTTTCAGACAAATCTTCTGCCCACTTTTCTCTTCTTCTGGGATCCCGGATCATGCGACTGTTATGCTTGACAGTGTCGCTGAGTCTATTCTCATTTTGCATATTTTTTTTCCTGGGTCTATTCCCATTTTGCGTATTTTTTTCCCCCTCTCATCTGCTCAACTTGATTACTTTCCATGACTCTGTCCTCCAGGTGGCTGATCCGTTGTTCTACTTCCTCTTGTTTGCTATTTATTCCAGGTGGTCTATTTTTATTTTCATTTAGTGAGTCCAATAGCTCTAAATGGTTCTTTTTTTTAGGTCTCCTATCTCTTGGTGGAGGGTCTCATGGAGGTCCTGCACTTCTTTCTCAATTCTAGCAAATATCTTTACGAGCATTACTTTAAATTCTCTCTCAGACATATTACTTATCTCTGTTTTGCTTAGGTCTCCTGCTCTGATTTTGTTCTGGTTCTTTCATTTGGGACATACTCCTCTGTCTCCTCATTCTGTCTATTGCTATGTCTGTTTCTCTGTGTTAGGAAAGTCAGCTACGTCTCCTGCCCTTGAAAGTAGTGGCTTTATGAAGAAGAGGTCCTGTAGTGCCCCACAGTGCAATGGTCTCCTTTTCACCAGAAAATGGTGCTTCAGGGGTGTCTCCTATGTGTGTTGCTACAGGGGTGCCTTACTGTTGTGGTGGAGCTGTGTTTGCCTTCAGTCCAGCCTGTGATGGCTCTCTGCCTGTTGTGGGCAGAGTCTGGTGCCCGTGGTGTTAGTGGGCCGGTCTGGGGCTGCCTTGGGCTTAAGTTGAGCCAGACCAGGCGTTTGCCAGAGATGCAGTA